TGTTCACATCGAAGTTCTGGAGGGAGTTCTGTGAGTTGTCCGGTGTCGAGCCTAGTTACTCGACCGCCTTCCATCCCCAGACGGATGGTCAGACGGAGCGCAGTAACTCGACGCTTGAACAGTACCTGCGGACATACGTCAATTACCAGCAGGACGACTGGACCGATTTGTTGCCCATGGCGGAGTTCGCCTACAACAACTCGAAACACTCGGCGATCGGTATGTCGCCGTTCATGGCATCGGAAGGGCGGGAGCACGCCGTCGAACTCCCTATGCCTATCGCCAAGGATTCGGCTGTGGAGTCGATACAGGAGTACAGAGAGCGGATGAACAACATCTGGGAGTCTGTTAATGTCGCGCTGAGACAGGCCCGAGAGGATATGACGAAGTACGCGAATCGGAAGCGTACGGCGGTACCGGACGAGGGGTACAATGTTGGCGACATGGTAATGTTGTCGTCGGCCCACGTCAATACCGTGAGGCCGAACAAGAAGTTGGAGTGGAAGACCTACGGCCCGTTCAAGATCACGGAGGTCGTAGGAGAAGGTCGCATGGCGCGACGTTTGGAGTTGACACCGGGGATGCGTAGGATCCACCCGGTGTTCCATGTCTCGCTGCTAATCCCGTACAAGCCGAACGAGCTTCCTGGGAGAGCGGTAGACCCACCCCCTGAGCCAGAGGTGCTGGACACCGGGGATTTGGGGTGGGTGGTATCGGAAATCGTACACTCCAAGGAGTTGCGTTCGACGCGCGCCGGGCGTAGGACTCAGTACTACGTGCGCTTCGAGGGGTACGGGGACGAGCACAACGAGTGGGTTAGCCCTTCGGACTTCCACCACAACGACACGCTGGTGCTGGAATTCCATAAGCGACACCCTGAGTTGCCGGTACCGGGCCGTCAGGAGTACGGCGATGCTTGATGCGTTCGGAGCTCGCATCTAGGAGGGGGATCCTATTATAGGCGTCACGTGACGCGCGACCTACGGTGCGCGTCGCCTCGGGGTCTCGTTCGGAGACCCTCTCGGGGACTCTCTCGGAGACCTTTTAGGAGATGTTCTCGTAGACGTCTAACTAGTACCTTGTAGTAGTTAGACATCCGTTATTACATTACTATGCCTACCGTTACCTTTCCCCAGTCCCGCGACCTTATTACCTCAAGACCCGGCAGGTCGGCTGCCAGGCCTTATAGATAGGGGGTTCCTCCTCGTCGTCGTCGTCGTCCTCGTCGTCGGCGGGGAGGGGTAAGAGGGGTTGCTCGGCTGAGAAGTCTTGGGGTTCTCCCAGGAGCTGAACGTCGATGGCAGGGGGCTCTAGGAGGTCCTCGTAACTGCCGATAGCCGCATCCAAGTAGTTCTGAAAGTGGTAGTCGAGGAGAGGCTCCATAATGCCCGCGGCGGGGTATTCTGGTTGATATTCGGGATGGGGGAGCTCGGGGATCTCTGGTATTTGGAGGAAGGGGTCTAAGTCGATGTAGACGGGTGCTTCGACGTCCACAGAATGGTCCATGAGGTCCTGGAAGTTCTCATTGAAGATCTCCTCCCAGGAGAGCTCGGGAAGGTTGTTCCAGTCGACGGGAGCGTTGTACTGCATGGTGTGGTGATGTGATGAGTGGTGATGGTGTGTATCTCTGGCATTGAGGGATGCGATATCTGACGATCCCAGTCGATGCAGAGACTCTATATGTAAGGCCCAAGAGGCACCTGACCCCTGGTATTCCGATTTCCGAGGCATCTTTCCGATTTCCGAGGTGTTGATCTTGATTTCCGAGGTGATGTCATACGCATGAGTCGAGATGATTTTTTATTGTTTTGAGTGATAGTTGAGTCGTTCATGAAGGGTTCCAAAGTACCCCCCTCCAATTTTAGTGATGCTCCTGCATCAATTTCTGTTTCGAATGATTCAATGTATGCGTCTAGCCAAAGTCCATCAATCAGGCTCCGTGTCATCAACGCAGCATCAGAGATGTTTTGCTGCAGCCCAGTAAGCCTTGATGGCCTCCGCAGCATTCCCAAGATGTTCAGTCGGTTCCCATGTATTGTCATGAGCAGCGTAGCCTCTCCATTTGACCAGGTAAAGGATGTCATCCCGTCGGCTAGTCTTGTGGTCAATGATCTTCTCGACGTCGAACTCGGGAATGTCATTGATGACCTCTGGCAAAGGAGGTGGACCTGAGTCGGGTCGTCCACTGAAGTTGTCGGGGCTGACGTGGTACCGTTTAAGGTACTCAACATTCACTGTCGGATGAATCCGAAGGTTCTGCGGTAGATCCAACTCGTACGCGTTGATTACTTTGCCTGGGCCGACTTGTGGTCCAACGATGGTGAAAGGTCCAATGTATTTTGGGCGAAGTTTCTCGCTTCCTTTAGCATAGAGGAAGTCCGGTTGTAGGTGCTTCGTGCTGACCAAGGCAAGGTCCCCCACCTTGTAAGGCCTTTCTTCCCTTCCGATATTGTACTGGCGCGCTTGCGCTTCCTGCGCGCATTGCATAGCATTCTGAGCCATCACTAGAGCCGCTTCCTGCTCTGCAATGAAATCATCAGCTGCTTGTACCTGTCTGCCTCCAGTTCTAGTGACAGAGTGTGGCGTAGCTGGATGTTGTCCAAGGTCCAACTCAAAAGGAGTAGCGTGAGTGCTGGGATGAACGGAGTTGTTGTAGGCGAATTCAAGACCTGCCAGGTGTCCTGGCCAATCGTCCTGCTTATGATTGATGAAGTGTCGCAGCATCTCCTTCATCGTCCTCACCATCCGTTCTGACTGGCCATCGGTTTGCGGATGGTAAGCGGTAGACATTGCAAGCTTTGTCCCAAACGCTTGAAAGAGCCCTTGCCAAAAGAATGATGTGAACTTCGCATCACGGTCCGAAACAATGACAGCTGGTAATCCATGTAGACGGACAACTTCATTGAAGAACCGTTTCGCTGTATCGATTGCTGTGTCTGTCGTTTTTGAGGGGATGAAGTGGCTACGTTTTGTAGCTTTGTCAACTACTATGATGACTGCGTCCCAGGCTCCTTCTCCAGCGCGTGGGAACGGTCCAGCAAAGTCCATTGTGACCGTATGCCAACGATATAAAGGTATATCAAGAGGCTTCATCAACTGTGATCTCGTTTCCTGAGAGGTCTTGTTTCTCTGGCATGAGGAGCAAGAGCGAACATAATCCTTGATATCCTTCCCCATCTTCGGCCAGTAGTAGAGTTGCGAGATTGCGTTGATGGTTTTGGTAGCCCCAAGATGTCCAGCTGTGATGGCATCGTGGTGATCGTGCAGAAGCATCAATCGGAGTTCCTTGTTGTTAGGCACGCACAGACGCGCGGTGTTGTGAAACGGGTCCTTGTAGAATAGGTGTGCACCTTCTAAGCGAAAGCGTGCATATTGTTGAGGTGGGCAGGCTAGTTTTACTCCCTCTAGTACGTCCTTGAAGTACATGTCGTCTTTGTATGTGGATGCAACCTTGTTCAAGAAGTCCTCAGGGAGTTGGATAGCACTGACAGAATTACTGATATCTGTGCTTGTTGTAATCATGTTGCATTCGGGCAGAGGAGCACGAGAGAGTGGATCGGCATTGGTATTGACCCGTCCTGCCCTGTACTTGATGCTCATCAACTCCCTGTACGGCTGAAGTTCCATTGACCATCTGACAAGGCGCCTGTTTGGACCTTTAAAGTCGAGTATCCATTGGAGAGCAGAATGGTCGGTATAGATAGTGAAATGTGACCCATCCAAGTATGGATGAAGTTTCTTCAGAGACCAGACAATACCCAAACATTCTAGCTCGGTAGCAGTGTAGTTCTGCTCAGCAGGTGAAAGGGATCGAGAAAGGTAGACGATAGGATGTTCTCTTCCATCCTCATCTAGCTGACTTAGGACTCCACCTAAGCCAATCGTCGAGGCGTCTGTGTGGAGAATGAAAGGTTTCGTGTAATCAGGATGGGCCAAGATAGGAGCGGAGGTCAGTCGAGACTTGATTTCTGCAAAAGCCTTGGAGCATGCCCCATCCCAGTTCCATGGCTGGTCCTTGCGCAGCAGAGCATATAGCGGTGAAGCTAGTTTTGCAAAGTCCTTGACAAAGCGTCTGTAATAGACTGCTAGGCCCAAGAATCTCTGCAGCGTCTTGATGTTATCTGGCTGTGTGAAATCTCGAACAGCCTTGACATTCTCTTCTGAAGTGCCAATTCCTAGGTTGCTGACGGAATGGCCAAGTGCTTGTATGGTTTGATAGCCGATGTGACACTTCTTTGGGCTAAGTGTCAGCCCTGATTTGGCAATGAGAGCCAAGATGGTGTCAACATCTTTGAGGTGTGCTTCAAAGTCCTTGCTGTAGATGATGATATCATCTATGTACACCAAAGCAATCTGCCATTTGAATCGTCCTAGTACCTTGTCCATGAGCCGTTGAAATACTGCAGGACCGTTGGTGAGACCAAAAGGCATTCGTTTGTATTGATGTAGCCCCCGATGTGTTCTGAAAGCAGTCTTCGGTATGTCTTCCTTGTTGACTTCGATCTGGTTGAAGCCTTTGTTGGCGTCGAAAGTGGTAAAGTAAGCTTTACCAGCAAACTGCGAGAGTATGTCATCGATACGGGGAATCGGATATTGATCCGCTTTAGTGACTTCGTTGATTTTGCAATAGTCGATGCAAAAGCGGTCTTTCCCTTTCTGCCTGACTAGGATAGCAGGTGATGCCCAAGGAGAGTCAGACTCTTCTATGACACCATCTTCTAGAAGTTCAGCAATAGTATCGTCAATGATCTTTCTCCCTGCAGGCGATGCATGGTAAGGCGGTGTGGAGATAGGATTTGCATCTCCTGTTTCGATCTTCATTGTTGCCCAGTCTGTCTGGCCTAACTTTCGGGAGCCATAGGCAAAAGCGTGTTGATTTCTCCAGAGTACGTCTCGGACTCTGTCTTGATCCGTCGTAGTTAGTTCCTTGTTGATGTCCATTTGATTAATAGCTTCTTCAAATTGGTCCTTATCTGCAGTAGCAAGTTCGACCTGGTTGGCTATCGCTTTGGGTCTGTTTCTGACTGAGACAGCATGGCCAAGTAGCTCGTCTGCTTGCAGCTTGATAGGATCGAGTCCAAGATTCATAACATGAACGAAGTGAGTGGCTGCTGCGGTCAATGCCACCGACCTTGCGATCTCAAATCTTCTGTCTTGTCGGCAGGGGTCTACGAGGTAAACATTTGAAGGGATAGAGTGGGAATCCAAGTTCACTGGCACTCTTGCTTGATGACCCCCACGAATGATGTATGCCTCTTTGAGACGGATAGGGATCTTGACTGCCTTTTCTTCATCCTGATTTATTGAAGAAGTGATAGGGATGAGACTGTCGTAAGAGTTGAACTTGAGAGTTTTGGCATGGAGATCGATGCATGCTCCAAAAGTTTCAAGCATGTCGTTTCCAAGGAGTATTTTCGTCTTCAGGTTGGGTACCAGGAAGAAAGCAGCAGGGGCATTGAAAGGTTTCCCCTCTTTGGAGATAAAGTGAATATCTGCTTCTATCCAGGAGCTTGCAAATGTCCTTCCAAGACCCATGACTTGGAACGAACTAGCAGTATGTCTTGGAGAGTTTCGGAGGTGTGTGTTTGCGAAGTCTTCGTCCATGAGGGAAATAGATGACCCGGAATCGACGCAAAGTCGATGGAGAGTCCCTTCGCCTGCATTGAAACGAACAAGGGTATAGACTGGCGTCTTGAAGTGATGGCGTTCCTCGAGGCGTTGAGAGGTACCAATCTTTGGCGCAAGTAATGTCTGAGGTTCAGGCGCTACAGGCGTAACATCCTGAGTGATCAATGGTTCGTTTGCAGGAGGGAGTGTGTGTTGTGCTGCAGGTAAGATGGACATGTCCCTGTTCCTTGCTGCTTGTCTAGTCATGACAGTGTTGGTGGAAGGAGATGGCGGGGGAAGATTCTTCCACCTGACATTCTTCTGAATAGGGATACGGTTGGGATGAGTGGCTGGTCCGCTTGGGCAATAGGCCAAATGAGTCATTGGCCTTGGCACTGCTGCGGTCCCGGCAACGTTGTTGAGTTGAGGGCAATCTCTTCTCCAGTGCATCTTTCCACAGACACATGGCGTCTTTGGAGCCGTGTTGGAGGCGGCTGGAGCCCTCCTGACCGGGTCAATGGTTTTCACAACTTCATGGCGGGTTGTGGTCCGTTCGACTCGGTTGAGGTTGTTGCTTCTCCTATCAGTACGTAGTCCAGGTTCCAGATCTATGAGAATCCTCCGGAAGTCCTCCAGAGTTGCTCCTTTGTGAACTGCGACCTTGATGAGTGGTTGCAGCGAGATTGGGATACCTTGCAACATGTCGTCTATGAGTTCCTCATCTGGGGTACCCTTAGGGTAGACATAACGTTGCAAGCTCTGCTTGTCCTGGAAGTAGTCACTGAATGATTCAGTCAATTTGAGTTGTCGGTACAGACATTGTCGCCGCAATGCTGCTTTGTGGTTAGGAAGGTAGAAGGCCGTCCTGAGCGCGTCCTGCCAGTCAGACCATGTAGATAGTTGACTTCGGCGCTGGCTTCCTAGTTGGGTAAACCAAGTTGATGCTTTACCATAGAGGATCAAAGGCAAGTGGCGGAGTAGCTCCTCATTTGATGCACCTGAGTACTCAAATATAGCTGATACCTTTTCAATCCATTGGTCGATATCCTCTTGGTCTTTACCGGTGAATTTTGGCAGATCATTCGCCTTGAGATGAGGCTTCCGATCGGATAGGACTGTTGTGGTTGTAGTCTCTCTCTGTCGACGGAGTCTTTCAAGTTCTCGATCCTGACGTTGAATCTCATCAAGGAGTTCAGCATGGCTGACCGGTGGACTAGTGTGTAATCCTAGTTGAGGGTTGATTGGTTCGCTTGGCTGCCTGACAGGGCTAGCAATGGGTCTGGTAGCAAAAGCCAGCTGTTCTTGTAAGCTCTTTACCTGCGCAACCAACTCTTCAAAAGCAATAGCTGGAAGAGTAATAGTAGGGGTTGGAATTTCTGGCAAAGCAGGTGCCTCTTGCCTTCCAGCCTCAATTTCGACATTGTCCTCTGATTGGGGTGCCATGTTGTTAACTGGCTCGGGTGCTGCGACTGATTGAGCACGTGTGGTTGGCATGCTTGTATGCGTAACCTTTTGGGGGTAGACCTGTAGTCTAAGTTCTGCAGAACTTCTTCCTGGTTCCTTGATACCAACCAAGGGGAGAGACTGTGTGAAGGTTTGTTTTTGAACCGTTCAACAGTTGATCGATCGAGTGGGAGAGACCTGTACTAAGGTTCTTGAAGTGAGAGGATCTACACTGAGACCTAAGGGAGATGCACACAAGGGTGATCAGTAGTAACAAGCGTTGTAGCTTGGCGTTGCGTCCAACGGCTTTGGATAATATGAGGTAAGGAGGAAGAGAGGTAAAGTGATTGGTAAGGCGTGAATGGTGTCCGGGAAGCGCCCCCAAGTGTCGTGAACCCAAGAGTTTCCTCTATCTGTTACGTACGACCTTTTGCTTCTAAGACAGTCCGACGCAATATTTTATCTTACCGTTATCACCAGTTCTCTTGAGGTAGAATCAGACGAGGGTAGCTAGTCCTAGTCGAAAGGTATTGAGAGTTTATTCGAGGTTGTAGAGGGTGAGAGGAATTCAGAGATGTTCTGTCTTCCCTTCAACATTCTCTTTTGGCCTCATATATATATGTTCATGAGATACTACAATATCCAAGTCTGACACTACGAGTGCCGATGTACGAGTTCCGTCTTCCGATCTCCGGTCTCCGATGTATGATGTACAAGTTCCGGTCTCCGATGTACGATGTACGAGTTCCGGTCTCCGATGTACGATGTACGAGTTCCGGTCTCCGATGTACGATGTACAAGTTCCGACAGAGTCCTTTGGCAAGTTCCCACAATGTCCTAGCATCCCTCTGTGGAAGGCGTTTCAGGTGATGGTCCAGCGGCTTGCTGATCTTGTGTACTGAAACACCGGTCCAGTAGGCAAGCATGATTGGAGTGGCGACTTGCCGCCTATGTCCTAATGTTGTATAACACTTGTAGATAGTTCTAAACATGTCCTGAGTTGATTCATTACAGTAGTGTTCTTGAGAGATGTAGAGTTTCCGGTTGGGCCTGTCTCGGAAGACATTGAACCCAAGAAAGTAAGAGACCGCTCCTCCGTCAGAGCACTCAAATCGGTTGTTGAGCTTGGTCTTGAAGTCGTCCAGTTCCTGGCGATTGTTGCAAGCGATGAGTTGATCATCAACGTGGACGGAGAGGATGAGAAGAGTATCCTTGGTTGATCGGATGTAGAGACAGGAGTCGGCCGGAGAAGGAATGAGACCGAGAGATCGAAGGAACTTGTCGAGAGCCTGGTTGAAGCAGCGAGGTGATTGTTTGAGACCGTAAAGTGATTTCTGAAGTCGGAGAACCTTGTTGGCAGGGATGTTGCTGCCCTCAGGAGGTTCGAGATGGACGAGTTCCTCTAGTTCTCCGTTGAGGAAAGCGGCCTTGATGTCGACCTGGTCACAGTCCATGTCGAGGTAGTTGACCAGAGCGAGGAAGACTCGGATGGTATCCTTGTGAGCGACTCCCGCATAGAGTTCGTTGTAGTCAACTCCTTCCTTCTGCAGAAATCCTTTCGCTACCCATCGAGCCTTGTAGGCAGATGGCTTCCCAGTCTCTCCGTCAATCTTCCGGGTGAAGACCCACTTAGCTCGAAGAGGTTTGGATGTAGCTTCTTGCCTATCGATGACGGACCAGACCCTGTACTGATCCATCTTGTCGAGTTCGGCTTTGATAGCCTCCTGCCATTTGTCCCACTCTGGAGATCGGTGGGCTTCCTGAAATGTTTGAGGAATAGCTGTGGAGATGAGTGCATGACCGCAGATGACGGCGGTAGCGAAGTTCGCTGAGTATCCAAATTTGGCAGGTGGTTTGCGAACTCGTCGGGAGCCATCAGGTAAGACTGGGTTTTCCAGTTCCGGTACCGGTGCTATGTCCCATCCTTTGCTCCAAATGCCGGATGACTTGTGTTTGGCCTGTGTAGCCTGTGTAGCCTGATCACTTGGGATGGTCGTGTCATCGCCAGGCTGATCAGGCAGGTTGAGAGTATCGGTGTTGTCTTCAGCCGATTGTTCCTCTTCAGTTTCAGAGTCTGAGTCTGATGTTGATTCAGGGACTATGTCGATGTCGACCTGAGTGGACTGGATTTTGGTTTCCAGTGATTTGGTGTTGGTGGAATTCTTTGGTTGTTTACCAAAGACCACATCACGAGAGATGATGACCTTTTCGGTGTGGAGATCCCAGATCCTGTAGTTGTCGGTCCCCTCAACGTAAGAGAGTAGTTGCCCTTCTTTGTAGCGAGGGTGAAGTTTGTTGGTGTTGTTGTGGTCACGGAACCAGAGCTGACAGCCAAAGGGTTGAAGGTGCCGGGAGTTGACTTCACGTTGCCTCCAGAGATCCTCCGGGATATGTTTGTCAGATCCTGTGGGAGCCCGGTTCCTGGTGTAGATGGCGTAGTTTGCCGCTTCGGCCCAGAACTTGTCATCGAGTCCGCTATCAATCAGGAGCGTCCTTACCTGATTGAGAATGGTAAGGTGCGCCCTTTCAACTCTACCGTTCTGAGCATGAGCGGCAGTTGGAACGAAGTGATGCTCAATGCCCTTTGCTTTGAGGTAGTCACGAAGAGCATGTGACTCGAATTCTCCTCCTTGATCCGATCGGATGGTCTTGACGGTGCAGTCCAATTGATTCTCAACTAGGTTGATATAGTCGATCAATGCCTGCCGGGTCTCAGACTTCTTCTTGAGAAAGCTGAGGTTGACCTTCCGAGTGTGATCGTCATAACAGGTAAGGAAGTAGAGGGATCCTCCGATGGAAGGGGTTCGAGCTGGTCCCCAGAGATCGACGTGGATAGACTGGAGTGGTTTGGTGGCTCGGATGTTGGAAGCAGGAGCGGGGAGACGAGATCCTTTTCCCTGTATGCAGGCTGAGCATTGGAAGCCGTAGATGTCTTTTCCAGCTTTGCCCCAATCCACAGTCTTGTCAAGTCTTCCTTCCTTGCCAAGTTGAACCACCGAGCGAACGTTGAGATGACCAAGTCTGCGGTGCCAGTGGTAGAGGATGTTGTCCTCTGTGACGGTATTGGTGGCCGTGATGAGTGCGGCCTTGTGTCGGATAGGAGTGCTTGCCGGATCAAGGACAAACAAACCATCTTGTCGTGTTGCAGTGATGACCGGCTTGCTGGGTCCATCTTCAATAGTGTTGAGGATTGCTTTGTCTTTTGCAAAGGTCCAAGAGTGTCCGTCGGTGCTCTGTGCGGCACCAACACTCAGAAGGTTCCGTCCCAGTTCGGGTACGTGAAGAACATCGTGTAGTGTGATGTTAGGTAATTTGAGTTGACCGCATTCTCTGGCGGTGATGTTGGCGCCGTTGCCTATGGTGATGTTTGCCTGGATCGGTAGTTGTTTGATTCCAGTGAGTAGGTTCCTGTCATGGACCATGTGATGAGTAGCTCCAGAGTCTACGACAATGTCGAGTGCAGACGAGTGGGCCAGAAGGGCATTGTGATCGATGGTGATGCTTGCCATGAAAGCAGAGCCGGCGTTGATGCCATGATGTTGACTCCTGTTGCTTACGAGTGCTGCGATGTTGGCACTGTTGTTTGTGTACCTGTTGGCGTTGTTGCCGGTACTGAAGTTGGCGGGCTTGGTGAAACAGTTTGCTGTTGAGTGTCCATTCTTCTGATGGAACTCGCAGAAGGCATTCTCGTCAAAGGGAGATCGAGGAATGAACTTCTTCTTGTTTCCGGTGCCGCCGATGTTGTTGTTGTTGTTCCGTGCTTGTTGACGGGCAGCGATGAGAGCCGTAGTCTCAATTCCTTCTTCCTGAACAATCCTCCTCCTGTACTCGGCTCGGACGGCGTCGATGACGTCCTGCGAGTGAAAGTCCTCCTTGAGATAATAGGTCTGAACGAGGGTTTCGTAGGAGGAAGGAAGGGACATGAGGATGGCAAAGGCAAAGTCCTTGTCGTTCATCTGGGATCGGCCAGAGACGGTGATAGCGGAGTAAGCCGACTTGAGCTTTCCGGTATGGACAGTCGGATCTTCTCCTTCCGCGAGTTGGGATCGCCAGATGATCGCGAGAAGTTCAGCCCGCCTGGATCCCCTTGCTGCCGAGTAGGTTTCCTGAAGATGTTTAAGTAATCTTTCAGAAGCAGAAGGAAGCGTCGCTCTGTACTCATCGGTGTGAGCGGAGTCCCTTTGGACCAGAGCGTGCCAGGTTGAGAGGTGAGACGGGAGGTTGTGATGGACAAGCTGACTGAGGCTTCCGTCGATGATTCCGAAGGCCTTCTTGTCTTTCTTGATCCATTTCGCAAGTTCCTCGGCTGTAGCTGGAGTAGTGACCGTAGTAGTGGTAGTGGTTGGAGCGTTGTCCGTGCCGGCGGTGGCAGCCAAGGTAGTGATAGGTAGGGTATTAGGTCGAGGAATAGTTCCATCAACAATGTCGTCCAGATCCTTATCGATCAAAGTGTTTTGAATCGAGCGGGACCATTCCGCGTAATTGTCGGGACCCTCAAGGTAGGTACGCTTGGTAACCTTGAGAGTATCGAGGTCGAGACTGTCGGCCATGATGAAACTAAGTCGATGTTGAAGAGGGTTGGTTGATGTAAACTAAGGTAATGGCCCGTTGAGCTCCGTTGGTAGAGCAGCCGACTCTTAATCTGTTGGATATCGAGTTGATCACCGTTGTATAGTTTGCATGAGGATAAAATATACAAGAGGGGATCATGAAATCAGACCAGAATGGTCTGCTATATATATTATTCTGGTAGGTGGCAAGGTGCTGCGGTTTGCGGTTTGCGGTCTGCGGTTTGCGGTCGCAAGTTGCGGTTTGCGGTCGCAACTTGCGGTTGTGGTCGCAACTTGCGACAGTGGTCGCAGATTGCTAAGCGAGTCGCAGATTGCTAAGCGAGAACAAAAGGAAAGGTGCGAAGAGTGGATGTGCTTTATTGTTCCATGCGGTCTATTGTTCTGGGAGAACAATAGACGTGCGGGAGAACAATAGGATTCGACATTCGCAACGGCCCTGCTGCACGACGCAAGGCAAACTCCATAAGCTGGATTGGCTCCACAGCAACGGAGGTCCCGCTTGCAACCACCTCACAAAGGAATAATATGGGTCACCTGGGATCGCAAAAGCTACATCGGATTGCAGCGCCGGGGAATGAGTATGATTATCCGGCGGAAAGCGATTAGCATCTCGTCGAATCATTGCGCCTCTTTTCGCGCGAGAGGCGAACAAGGTGAAACACTACTTGGTAACTAAACACTCAGACCTACCTCGGGTTCCAGCCCTCTTTTTGAACATCAGTTTGCTCGTACGTATGAAGATGGCCTAGATGTCTCCCTGTTCTCATGCTCTGCCCGAGCTCAAAGAGGACTACGAGTCATTTCGAAATCACATGGCTCACGTCAGCAATGATGCTCAGGTGGATATATTGCCGACCGTGTATTTAGTTTCGAAAATACTTTGGGTCAAGACTGCTTTTACAAAAGAAAAACAAGCACATGTCCCACTCAATCGACAACCACGCGATATCCTACCCTCTTGAAAACAGCCGCGCCGATGACCGGTCTGCCGTCGTCCCCTTGGGCGAACACACCCAGATGTGCTCCAGTGAACAGCGGGTTCAGCTTTTCGATGGGCAATTCTCCCACGACCGTGAACTGGTCCTGGTCGGGCTTGCAGTATCCGAACTCATAAGCAGAATCACGAGCCCTGATGACGAAACGGATATGCTCCGAAACCGCGATCTCAGGCCCCAGATCGACGACGGTTTCCTATCGTTCAATGCCAGATAAGCATCGATTCGACTCGAAAGGGAATTTATGGAGACAGGCGCCTCACCTCAAAGGGACGAAAGTCGGCGACCTCTCCGATCTTTGCTCTCATGACCGCCTGTGTCAGACAGAAGCAGGACGAAGATCAGTCCGGATCCTTCTGAACAGCCACGAACAAGGTATCACTCACGTCCGAGGCGCTGATCGCGTCGAAACCTTGCAGCAGCTAGAGAACAACGCCACAGCTCTGTCAATATCAAGTAATTGGGCTGGGCTGTTCAAGCCTGCCGACACTGACCTTTTTGGTATCGCCATCAGACCCGTCAGGCTTTCTGAAAACGAGTTGCCTGACCGATTGTCCCCTGGAGTCCCGAACCAACCTGATTGCCAGACTAGCGTGGCTGGACTTGGCCATGTACAACGCGACACCGGCTTCCTGGCCTACGTGCTCGATATCGACAAATCGACTCATATCGGCGGTAAAATCGACCAGCCTGTCCTTCTGGCGGATCAAGAGACAAGCGGGGCTTTCCTGGTAACCATCTAGGCGGTGGACATTGCCATATATGGATAATCCAGTTGCGGGATCCACGCTCCAGAAAGGTCTCAATGGGGTCCGGATCGTGTACCAATCCCGCCCCAGTTCTGCAAGAGGTAGCATCATTTGATTCAACGGCGTCTATCATTTCCGATACGATCAGATGCTCACCAGAGCCCTGGAAAGTATCCTGCCAACTAGTGGTCTCGCGGACAGCCGATGGGACTCCCTGGTACTCGCTCCTTAGCTCTATCGACTTTCCATGGTTGACCTGAGGCCAGCCCGACTCGGTCCATACCATCCCGGCAGCGAAGGTTTCCCTGCCCAGATGCCCCGTCGTGCTCCATTCGGGTCGTTCGTCGCCAGACGGACGGGTCGGTCGCACGCCGAGAAAGACTGCAAGCCAGATGTCGCTCTCAAGAACGGGAATGATGTCCATATGGCCGACAGCCTGGACGTCCGGGTGTTTACTTTCGTTGTGGACGATCGGGTTCACATCGGGAGGAGGCTGTTCATAAGGCCCGAACACGTGGTCGGACCGGGAGATGGTGGCGCAATGACCAGTTTCGGTACCTCCTTCGGCTGCGAAAAGGTAATACTTGCCATCGTGCTTGTGGATATGGCTGCCTTCGACGGTACCTGAGCGTTCTTTCTTGGGGTCGGAGCAGCGGATCAGAATGCTAGGCGAGATTGAGCGACCGGTCTTCAGGTCAATCTCGGCGATGTAAAGACCAATGTCGAAAGGGAGCTTCGTGTCGGCGTGCCGGATCCGTCGACTCGTGGTCAAGTAGACTCGGTCGTTGTCATCGATAAACAGCTGACGAAGGCGGAAGAAAGAGAGAGTCATCAGGACGTGATGCTGAGTGACGTCGGAATCGATTGACTGGGACTTACATCTGGGTCAATGCCAGGTTCGTCGACAAAGACTGCTGAACTCCAAGCTTTCTCTTCAAGGATATTCTCAGTCCAAACGTAGAAGCTACGAGACATGTAAACCTCGCCCTGCGGAAAGGTAGTTGTCAGGAATGAGCGATTGGGCGTGTTTTTTGATCGTGCTCGACGTTCCATTCACCATTGCATACGGAGGCTGGAAGCCTACAAATGCATCGAAGATCCAATGATCAGGAACTCCCTACGAAGAGCATGGCAAATCACTCACGGTTGATCGATGTGCAGGCCACATAGACACGTCCCTTGTGATAGCGAATCGTCGGAGCCCATAAACCTGAACTGTTTTCAGAGTTTCGCAGGTCGATACCTTGGTCGCGCCGGCTCAGCGCGTGTCCCACGAGCTTCCAGGATACGAGATCGTTCGAATGGTAGATGGGCAGGGCAGGCCAAAATTCAAAGGAAGACGTGCAGATAATGTAGCCGACGTTGGGCACGTAAGTGATACTGGGGTCCGGGTTGAAACCGGGGAGGATAGGGTTGGTGATGATTCCCATTTTTCCGGTTGAGTAGGGTCTTGTGATACCAAAGCTGGAATGACGATGTTTTTGGAGATAAAGACATGTACGTACAGAGTAAGGAAGTCACATCTCGAGGTCTTTTGATGTAGAGTAAGTAGTAGTAGTATATCCTTCGACGACCTTGTGCGCTTCCCCGAAACGCGCGGAAGCAAATCTTCCCCCGACGGGGGCGGACGCCACACGGGGTCGGTGTAAAGATACGATCATCTCGATTTGAGAGCCTCGTTCCACCGAAAATCATCCATCTTCGTCGTTTCCCGCCATTGGACCAGTCTCGAACGGCTGCCGCTTATGCGGGTCGCCAGTCAGACGGGGTGCGGCTGTTGAGCAAGGATTGTTGCTGCTTGTACGAAACTCGTCGAACAAACGGAAACGAACACTTATACTCGACTTGCAGGATCCAAACTGGATTTTGGTAATACGACAAGGTCCGAGTCGATTCATTCCAATTCTGACAACCCCCAGTATCATGTCGCAAGCCGCTGCCTCTCTGTCGGTTGCCCTGGCCGCCCACAGCTCGGGTCGACATCTCTGCCGCTTCACCACTGCCGAAGAGCCGTTCTTCTTGCTCAATGATACGGCATGGGAACTGGCACACAAGTTGGATATGGAGCAGGCCGAACATTACCTAAAAAATCGGGCCAGCAAGGGGTTTAATAGCGTCATGATCGTGCTCATCGCGGAGCAGGAGTGAGCTCATATCCGATGGACCAGGTCCGCGCATTCGGCTAACTCACTTGTTTGTCACCCGTTGTAGTGGCCTGACGGTCCCCAACCGAGACGGACACCTGCCCTTTCCGCTTCAAACCGGTCTCAACGGCGAACCGATCGTTGACATCTATCACCCCAACGACGCCTACTTCTCATTCGTCGACCGCCTGATCCCCGTCGCCGCCAAGATGGGGATCTCGTTGACCCTCGTGCCCACCTGGGGGAGGTATATCACGGGAGGCCTTCAAGGAGGGCCCGTGGTTTTCGACGAGAGGAACTCGAGGTCGTACGGAGAGTTTTTGGGCGAAAGGTATCCCTTTCATCCGTGGGTTCTGGGCGGGGATACTAATCGGTATTGGAACCCCAAGACGGTGGCCTATCTGGACGAAAAGAAGGACGTCAACGACTTGGAGGTTATCGACTATAAGCCGGTATTTGATGCTATGAGAGAGGGTATTGTGGAAGGAGAGAAGAGGGCGATTTCCAAGTTGAGCAAGGAGGTTTGTGACAAGGCCCGAGGATACGAAACGTTCTTTACATTCCATTCCACTCAAGGTGAGCGCGTTCTCGCGACGGCATACATGATATCCCGATTGCTGATCGTCCTTTGCGACTTGCAGGCTGGCTACCCAAAGCCCCCGCCCCCTCGATGGCTAGTGCTCAGTTCCCCGACGCCGACTGGCTCACGCTAGATTGCGTACAAACCGGCCACACAGACTTTCCTCACTCCGTCCCGAATTGGTTCTCGACGAGCTGTTATTTGCCGGTCAGGACGATGTATAAGAACGCGGAAAAGGTCAAAGGGGGAAAGTTGAGGCCGGTCATTGATTTGGAGCCTCATTACGAGAGTACTCACCATTCGTTCGATGTGAGTCCAACCAGAGCGACCTTCAGGCTGATGGATACTGTTTCTGATATTGTGCTTTTCCAACCTCAACAGCCGACTCGACCGATTTGGGGAGCGGCAGATATCCGAAACGGTGGCTATCAAGCCGTAAGTTCTGGGCTTCATGGCAGACCGATTATGGAACTCGCTCACCGTATTTCGCTCGGCCGGCCTGGCAGATCTTCAACGGAACATGCGGTTACACCTACGGATGCAACTCAATCTGGCGTATGTGGGACCCAAAGTTCCCCATTCACAACCCGCCTCACGACGTGGTCAGTCGCGACGGCTTTGTACGATCGGACTTGTTCTCGGCGCGCTAATCGTCTCTGCCTTTGTCTCGACAGCCCCCAACGGCTCCGTGGCACCTCGAACTTGATTTGCCCGGCGCCTTCTTTGCAGGAATCATGCAAAAGATCATCCTCTCCCTACCCAACTATCACAGCCGCGTACCGAACAACTCGTTCATTACGTCCGATCGACACGAAGTTGCAGAGGCGTCTGCCGAATCTGGGATGGGACTCGTCAGCGGCATGTCGGGGCTGGGCTGGGCTATGGTCCACTTGCCGCTCGGCGGATTGGTCGACGTCGACGTGCGCAAGGCCTTGCCCGGAAGCTCAAGGTATCGAGCTTGGTGGGTCGATCCTCGGATCGGTAGCAAGGTGCTAGCCGTTCGTGAGGTCGAGGTTGGCGGAGAGCCTGTGACCTCGTTCCAGGCGCCAAGCGGAGGGGATATCGATAATGACTGGATCTTGTATCTTACGGACGAGAAGATCTCGACGTGAGCGTTTACCTTTATTGTGGCGCCTCAGAAAAGGTGCAACTATTGCAATTCTTCTTGAAAAGGTTTCTGACTTCGAGGATCGTTTTCGCATATGGATTAGAAGCGATTGCAAATTCGTCAATGTTATGTATGATGATAATGGGACTTGAAGCTCTTGTTGATGGTCTTTGCTGCTATATATCCAGAGAGCCCGACGGTTCGTTGAACTGATAGTTGTTCATCAAGCCGGCCCAGTCCATGCCCAGCATCAAGGACACGTCGGCGAATATATCGGACGAGAGGTTTTCCGCACTCTGCAGCGTTGCTGCATGTATCATTCGATCGTGATGAGCCGGTCCAGGTAGCCGTAGCGAATCTACCCAGATTCGGCAATTCGGCAGAGGGTGCTTGAGACCCTTCAACGTCGAGATGACTTGCGGTGTCGCTTCGGAGATTGTCGCGACCGCTTTGTTCAGATCCTGCACGAGGCCGACTGGCAAGTCTGATGAACCTGCGTGCATCTGAAGAACGGTGGCGATTGCGAAGAGCGCGAATGTCAGGCAGTGCCCTGGTTGGCGGGAGAAGTCTACCGACGATGTGGCTATTTCCCGCACAAGATCGCAAGACTTCTGAGCCATCATGCCTGCGATCCGTCGGATATATTGAAAGGCTTGGTCCGACTGTACGGGTGGATGCATTGCAAGATCGAATTCAAGGTTTGTCTTGACCGCGAGCGCCAGTGGCAATATATGCGACATTAATCGGAGATGATCGAGGGCGGGCGCTGTCGAAAAGATGAATATCATGAGCCGACGTGTCGCAGGCAACAGTTCGGTCAAAGATGAATCTCACAACCTGATTCCAACCACATGTCTCGCCAAGTCCCCAAGTCGACCCTCAGCTCGGCAAACAAGTGTTCCAGACGGGCGACAGTGCCGTCGTCCCATGTGGTAGAAGACTGTCTCAGCGCATCTAGTAGCTGCGAAATTGGGCGGACCAAGCGGAGTAGACGGGATTCTGCTACAAGGTGCTTATACCATATGTTATGGTGTTGCCGAAAGTTTAGAGGTGTGACAACATCGTCGAGATAGACGTGTTCGAGCGTCGATCCGGCGCCAGACTGCATTGTTGTCCTAATGGGAATTTCATTGGCCAAGGCATCACTACCGAGATTCTGGAATCCAGACTTACCAAGCGTGTTGGTGAACGACGCTAAACCACTGGAATGCCGACAGGGGGTCATATGCGGAATTAGCCAACATTCACCTTGAATCTGCTTGCCGATCAGACCTGAGACCTTACCAAACATAATCGATTAATCGCTGGCCAGTAATCCGATTGATTATTTTCAGCCGTTCCCATATTGTTGGAAACTCTCCGGACATCATCGTTCAGACCCAATCGCAGGGCTAAATGATAGGCCGTCATCGACATGCCTCTGTCCCCATTTAGTTCCAACTCGCCGGCACCAACGTGACCATTAAGAACAGGTTTGGAGGGAGCACTGGCGATGATCAAGAGGGCTTCGATCGTGTCAATCTCGGGACTAGGCGCGTTGATAGCGAGCCATGATCGATCCACGAGCCTGTCCACCGAGGCGCAGGTTGCACGATCGAACAGGTTCGACGGTCTAGGGAGACGGGTCACATAGTAGATGATCGCACACCGAAGGAATGGGTGGGTCGGGACCGAATCGTCCTGACCTGGGTAAACCCGAAGCGAGGGCAACGTGTGTACGAAAGCCTGCTTAAACCTAACGAAGTTGTAGCGGTAGATGAGAATGATCAGCACAGGAATATTCGAGTCAGTTAATAGAGCCTTGAGGAAACTGACGTTCGATAGGCCGCTTGAAATTCGCTCTCGGTAACCAGTCCGATGTGCACCGGGTCTACGAACCCAGCGCGGCATGGCTGGACGACCCGAAAGACCTGTGCCAACGGGCTCCTGAGATAGGCCGGTCCATACATCGCGTCTTGCCGTGTAGCAATCTCTGCAGCGGAATTCGGCGATACATAGGCTTCCGGTCCGTAATCCATGTCCGTGAGAGACGGAGGCGATCTCGAGCTGTAAGACCCGAACGTGTGTGTGGAGCCTCCTTGCCCTGTATTGTTCTGTCTCATCATGCTTTTGATGTCCATCGTCTGGGTCTTGATAGCCATCATCGACTCTTGCAGACCGAGTAGTAACTCCCGTACATCTTCACCCGAATTTCCTGCGTCTGGTCTACGGCCTGAACCTGAAGGTTTGGCGTGTTCCGCGGGCTCAGATACCCGTAGCCGCCTCCTTTTGGCCTCCCGACCCGTATCGACGGTGGCCCACTCTGGCTCTTTCGAGGTCGTTTTCTGGGTTGTATTTATGGGGACTGGAATGTCTAACCCTGTATGTCGACCTTCCACTCCATCGTCGTCCAGGCTTCGACTGTCCAAATATCCTTCCCGAGATTGCGCCAGCGAGCATGGCATGTCGAGCACGCTGCAACGATGACAGCCTGTCTCGCTCAAGAGATCGCAGCGACTCTTCCTGAGTTGACAGTTCTCGCAAGCAATCAGGCATCTTCGTCGTTTCCTCTTGTCTCCCTGATGAGAGTCAATCTATCAGTCTCGATCACGACCTCATGATCGGGTGGACATCGTACCTTTGACGGTCCTGCCATGTTCATGCTTCCGTTTCGTTCCTCGCTAGACATGGTTCTAAGCTTTGATTCAACGCTCGACGGGTCGATACGTAGATGGCGAGGTCGACTCTCAGCGAGTCTCGTTGCATAATAAGGGGGTTCTTGAACTCGAAAGCTGGGGTAGAGCTCCAGTGAGGGAGCGCGTCTTGCATCGACACCGGTGTGGACCCCACATCGTCACCCCTCCCGGGTCCGGCATCTTGCATCTCTCTCATCCGGGGTTATCCGCACAGGCTAGTCGATTTGCTTGGCAATACTGTTCGACCTCTTGACTCCCCCGTGTCTTGCCTCTGTGTTCAAAAGATGAGCGAGCGACCTCGTGATCTCATGGATGGCGTGGACATACACCGAGGGCGTGGGTGGGGTGTGCTTTGCACCTATCCCTGGCGCGCGTGAAAGATTGACAATCGCTCGGGTTCACAATTTTTCTCTGCCTTACTAAGCTAAGAGACGCGCCCACGCCCGTTCGCGCGAATGTTTGAGCGAATGTTTGAGCGATCGAGCAGAAGGTACTCTGTTCTTAACTCGGTCACACATCACATCACACGCATTACTAATTGATAATTAGCCGTCTAGTGTATAGTATTAATCAATTGAGTAAGTGATTAGTACCTTACTAACTCATTACTTTGTTTAGTAAGTAATTACTAGCTTATTAACCTTATATCACATTCGACTTGCTCCCTCTCTCTCTCTCTCTCTCTCTCTCAATGATCAAGTCGCCAGTTGCCAATATCATAGTCTCTTAGCCTGACCTCCTCTCGTTCTCATCAATCACATATACTAACAGAATCATGGTCTTTCCACACCCATGTCAGTTCACATGATCAACCTCCCTTATCCAATCAGTACAACTCTCCTAGACACCATCTTGTTGTAAGGCGAACATGTCCCCGCGAACAATTCCGGCGACCGCGAACGTCCTGGTCCCCCGCGAACACTTAGTGTTCGCCGTTCGCGAGTATCCTTTACCATGTTTTCAAGTCAGCCCAGTCATCCCTTGTGCTGCAATATTTTGACTGTGCCATTCGAGAGAGAATCATACATGCATAATTTCGGCATATTGGACATCAAGCTACACGATACAGGACCTCTTTAAACAATTCAAACGCATTATAATACTCCGTATCAATACTCTCGATCTCCCTTACTCTTCGTCGTTGAACCCCTCTTCCTTCTCCCGGATCCTCCTAGCCCAGTCGGCCGAAATCTCACTCGTGTAGTCGAAGAACTCGTAAGCCAAACGCTTCCACTCCGCTTCTTGGGGATCAAGGTTTGGCGTTATCGCCATCTCTACACCCATCCTACCCGGATACACCTGCATGTAGAGACCGACGGTACCGGTTGTCCTTGCTGCGTCGATCAACTTGTCGTGAATGGCGTCGCGAATATCTCCCGCTTTCTTCGACCGGGCGTCCGAGGCCTGTTTCTTCGTGGCACAGGACTTCTTATCACTCGCTTTTGAAGGCAAGATCAAGGTTGGGTCTACCCAATCGTCGTCCTGGCCCCACTCCAGCGCGACCTTGCTCTTGCTGGACGAGCGGTATTGGTCGTTCGACTTGACGAAGAAATTGACGTCTTGAGCCGGCCCGATCTGGTGAGTCCAAGCGACTCCCGCTCCTGGCCTTCCCGCGGTCTTCTTGTCCCCAAGCTTCTTCACGCAGGATCCGCCTTCTTCCCAGGCGTCCGCATCGTCAGAATCGCCCGAGTCGCCGTTATCGCCTTTTTCAGAGTCGGCGTAGTCAGAGTCATCGGACTCTTCCCTATCCTTGGGCAACCCGGCCGAAAGCACGCCCGCACTGTTCTTGCTCGTACGGGGTTTTGCCGGGCTGCTCTCCTTCGATCCGGGAGTCCTTGATTTGGACTTCGCAGCGACCTCCTCGTCCACGTTCTTCTCGGGGGGCTCGTCAGCTCCTCCTCCGTTGTTGTTGTTGTTGGACTCGTCAGTCCCTTCTCCCCCTCGTCCGGTATTCCCGTCGTCCCCGGCGTCTTCTCCTGTAGCAGCGTCCGCGTCAGGCCCAGGACCATCCCCAATATCGAGATCCATGTCCGCAACATCCACTGCCGGGTCGGGTATCTCGAAAAGATCTACTACCTCGCGAACAGCACGCTCTTCGCTTAGACTCCTCTCGGTGAAACCTGCGGGCCGCGAATAGGCAAATGGCACATTCCGCGGTACCAATGCTGCTCCACCGGGTAGATCGAGATGAAGACCGAAGATCAACCCACGCATTCGCAACATCTTGTCCGTCCCGGGCTTGGTCCACTCGTTCAACCACGAAAGAGCGAAATTCCTACGCAACGTAAATCGCCTTTCCCATGTTTGACGAGTGATCATTTGTCGCTCGAGTAGGTCCATGTCGGCAAAGAACCCTATAAGATGTGTATTCGTAAGTCAGTAATCTGTTAATCATGGAAGTTATCGAAGACGCTTTTACTTACCAGACCAAACGGGCCTACTGAAAGACCCCAAACGTTCGCGTACGAGTTGCTCCTTGACCGACCGAGGCATGTACAGTACGACACCTTCGGAGAGCTCCCGCAACACATCGCTGGCATGACCAAGAGGCGTTCCCAACCACTCGAGGTTCACAACGGGGATGATTTCTGGCTGAACCCCAGGCTCAGACGCCCACATCTCCGCCGCACTCTGAACGAGGTCCTTCCACCGCGAACGAGCCTCCGGCAGTAAGACACAGTCCCGCAACTTTCTCAAAGCAGTCTGAACAGTCATCAGACTTGTTCGACGCAGCAGTTGGAGGATGGGTATCCACTCCCGAGTCGAAAACGCCGCCGGTCCGATCAGTTCCCGCAAGAACTCGAGTTCCCCCATCAGCGAAGAGTCCGATCGCCAGTCGTCACGGGAGACAAACACTTCAAGAATCACGCCCGCGATCGTTGCGATCATAGCCACAGACGCTCCTTCCATCCAGTTTTCTCCCATGAAAACCATACGTCGCCAACCGACAGCCCGGACCATGATTCCCAGTTCCTTCCGTTCGCGAGCTTCGGCATCCCCGTCATCCCTGTTCCCGGTCGCGGGGGAAATGTCGCCCTGGATCCTCTCTCGCTGTCGATCTCGTCTTGCCGAGATCTCTCGTCTCTCGATGCCTTTCAGACGCTCAAGTACCGTTGACACCGTATTCTGCAGCTCTTCATCGTCTTCGTCGTCCAAGCCTGCTCCTCGGAGGATATTCATCAGGTCCAGCGATGACATTCCTCCCCACCATTCATCCCCCTCGCGCTGCTCACATCCTTTGACCAGGACGTGGAAGGCGAACTCCACAAACCTGCTCACTGGAGGGGCCTTCATCTCACCCTGGAAAGCCTCCCGCACGCCGCAATCCCATACCATTTGATGGAACGCACATGTTCGCGTCCCTCGCGAGCCCCCACTACAAGCAATGGCTCCGACCTTTTGCCATTCGTCGGCGTCGAACCCTTCTTCCAGTAGTTCGGCGAGATCCCGTTCCACTTCTCCCCAAGCCTCCGCCGATTCACAACCGATCGAGAGCGCCTGCCACACGCGAAGGAGGGCAGCAGGCAAAGCCTCCCGAGCTCTCAACCTCGCTGTTGGGAAGGGTTCTGACCACGACATCGGTCCCGACTTGAAGATAGGCTTTTGGGTCAACTCGCGGAGTACCCATCGATGTCCTCCAAGCACTTTGCTTGGATCGTCGCCCCAGGGAACATGGCGCGTTCGCGGCATTTGAGTCGTCGCGATTTGTTGCGGCTCGATACTGCGACCCCGCTTCCTCCCCTGCATCTTCTTTTCGGCCACGTCCATGGCGTACTGGCCCATCGGTACGGGCTCGGAGTCCTTGTTGACCTTGACGGGCTCCCAATTCGAAGGCAGCGCTTGTGCCCCAGCTCGACGTGACACACGTCGTTCCTTGTATCCCGTCTGGACCGGTCGTACCGCAATGTCGCTCGGAAAGACTTGAAGAAAACGCCGTACAGGAGGCACAGCTTGAGTAGTCCCATCTCGCATGACCACATCCTTGTTCGCGGGCGGCACCTCGTCCTTCTTCTCTGCGGGCGGGACGTCGTCCTTCTTCTCCGCCAACGGCAAGTCTTTGGCCGCGACCGTATCCCTGCCATCGTTCGCGGTGTCATCGTTCGCGGCCACCAAACCTTCACCTTTGTCCTTGGCGATCGCAACCCCGCCATCGTCCGCAGGCAGCAAAGTCTTGCTCTTTTCCGCATTCGAAGACTTGGAGACGCCGTTGAGGTCTTCCCCGAGTGCTATGTCGTCCGATAAGTCGGAGGGAGGGCCTTGATGTGGGTTGGGGGTTGAAGGCAGGGGTAGGGGATCTGCTGACCCTTGTCGCATCCAACCGTGGACCTTCACATCGTTGTCCCCGACCTCGCTGTTCTTCACCATCTTTTTGAAAACGCGAGGATCGTTCGAAACCGGGGGGATACTCTCCTCACGGTCATCCTGAGTCGTTTTCTTTTCTGGCTACGGACACCACCATACGATTTAGATTCTGATCCCACCCGCGGATAGTATATCTCTCGAAATGCAAACTCACGCCTTGAACATCTGCTTTCCCTTCAATCACCGGTCGCGTAAACCTCAACTTCAACGGCCTATTCCTCGATCCCTCTTCACTCCCTAAACCGGTCGTCAACCCTTCTCGAGTAGGCGGGAGAAGATCGGCAAGAGGGGCAGAGTCACTAATACTACTAAGAGAAGGACTCTTGCTCGTTCGCGGTTTTTTGGCGGCCTGAAATACGCGTGATCATATCAGCTCAGATGCTTGACCAAGACTGATATCGTGACCGTGAATTGCAGGCGATGTAATGATTCCTCACCTGCTCTTCCTCTCTCTCTTCACTCGGCGCCGGCCTCTTTCGGTTGATATTCTTGAGATTCTCAAGCCTTTTCTTATTCCGGGCGGCTTTGATCTCCCTTGCCTTCTGCGCTGCTATCAGTCCGGCGTTCAAGTTCTTTGCAGGGGCAGACATGTTGATGAAAGATGGAAAGATTGGGTACAGATTCTAAAGTAACGACGATGGATATTTGGAGGCAAATGGTAGTAACAAATGAAGAACAACACAGTGTAGTTCAGCGTTCAACATAGGTCCCTCAAACCCATCTACGTGGACTGGCCTTCGACATATATACTTGCTGCGCTGCGTACCACAAGACGAACTGCTTTGTTCCTAGATCAGCAGTATGTTGAAACATATACGTTCGTTCTATCAATGACCTATTGTTACGCCTTCACAAGACAAAGAAACAGCCCTGTTGGTGCAACGATTTTAGCTGACCTCCTTTGGTATCCTTGTTCTTGCTCGCGTTCGCGGGCACACTTCTTGTTTTTGTTTGTTGTTCGCGCGCTCGCGCGTGACGTTTGCGCTTTCATTTGGCAAATATCGAGGTTTCGTCATTCGATTTGTTATGATTTTGGATTGCAGTTAGCTACATTTATTTCTCCTGGCCTCCTGGTAGGTTGGGTTTCTGCTGCTTTCCGCTACCATACTACACTCACAGCGAACCACACTATGGAATTCCCAGGCCTAGACCTCTCATCCCATGAAGGGGTTACATTGAATGACATGTGGACCTCGCATGAAGAGTTACACGATGATAATCTCCCCGCCTTGGATGAGGACGCCGAGGAGACATTCGACGTACGCAAAGCTGGCTTAAACAAGCTCAGCAAAATCCGGTACATGCAAATGCTGGAGATGATGTCAGAGGGTCTGCGTGAATTAGCTACTCGAGTAGCTGCGGAGATGGAGTTCACGCCGGAGCAATGCATGTTCTCCATCTTATCGCTTCATCAGAAAAAGCAAAAGCGATCGCGAACTCAGAGCGAGTGGAACGCCTGGGTTAGCCTCACTTGGCAGGAGGAATGTGAGACCTCCCTTCTCTAACGTTACGGTACCTCACGACATACGTTAACGATTCGTTCTTCTGTTCCAGACCCTAAGCTCTCGTCACTCGGATCGACTGCACCCTCCCCCGACGCTGCCGCTCTCCCTCCTTTAGCACCCCCTCCTGCTTCTGCTAAAGATCGCATCGCGCACGTTAACCGCAAGGCGAAGATCAACCGCGAACAGGGCCGGTGGACACCACAGGAGATCAAGAGCGCTATGGAACAACTAAAGGCAACGGCGGCTGCCAAACCAAGTCAGCCCACACATAATAAGGCACTTAACGACGAACAACAAATCATTTTACAACGTAATAAGGCTCAGCAAATCTGGGACGCAACATGCTCTACCGTACGTTCATTGATTACTCTCCTCTCTGTCCCGGTCCCTTTACCAGTGTCTCTCCCAGTCCCTTTTCCCTTTACCATCACTGGCTTACATTGACACTCCTATGCCCTCCCGTTCATCTAGCTTCGACACCTGCACGATATCTACAATATCGGCACCTGTCTCTTGATGGTTCCGCTGGTTGCAAACCACTCTTTCAGGCCACAGATGATGATACAGAACATCTGGCTAGAGCGCACCATTCAAAAGCTTTGGAGAATCGGGATTACGCCGGAGGCCGTACAACACCATCTCAATAAGCTCATGGTCACCCTAGTCGAACAACGCATTCATCACAGTCAGTCGAGAACGCGCAAACTTACTGTTCGCGTCATGCTCCTGCTTATTCGCGCATAGCTTCCGAGCTCAAGCTGACCTTCGTTTGCTGTGTGATACAGCATCGGAGACCTCACAAGCTCTCACTGCAGGTCAAATACACCAACGGGATGCCCTTCATCAAGAACACTTCCAGTCCATGAAGATCGCCTCGAGACGGGAGACAATCGCCACTCATATCAAGGCATGCATCTTAGCCACATGCGGAGTGGACTTGCCGACCGTTCCTTGGAGTCGATTGCATTTAATCGCATGGCAGAACGACGTAAGGTGGAAAGGCGTCCCACTCGATACCAATTGGGTTAAGGTGTCGAAGATGACGCAGCCCGACGTAAGCATGTCCAGACATCATGGTCTACCGAACCCGTCCTGATATCCTTCACTCCTCTCCTGGGATTCAGTTCGACAGGGTTGCTTCAGCGTACGCTCAACAGACGTTTCGACTTGAGAAGCTCAGTGAGACGCCAGCCCTCTTTGCAGAGTACAAGAGGGTATTGGAACTGCTGGCGTATGAGAACTTCCCCAAGAAGTTTGCCGGACTCCCAGGTTTTGATGGCTCACAGGATGACGCAGCTCTTCTCGCCGAGCGTGTTGAATTACTGGACAAGCTCCGGGACGACGCTGGCGAATGATTTGACGTTCACCATCGGGAACTGTTCGCGGTGGCGCGGTCTGTACGGTTGAATCGGTCAATATACCTTATATATGTCGGCCTGTGTGCATTACAAAAGCATCATGACGCCTCTACTCGCGTCAGCGCTGGCAGTCGAACTGTCGACATCATTCTCGTCGACAATTCCCTCGACATGTTGGTTGTTGTGCAAGAGAGCAACACAGCAGTCGTCGTCCACATGAATAGTAGAGTGGTTGCGAATCTGGCTTCGATCAATGATTTTGCGACTGTTTTGTGACCCGGGAATGGGTTCGCCTGACCGCGCGAACACACCTTTTTGCCTTTTTTACATCTGACCAAACTCGCGAACATTGCCTCGATTCCCAATCGTCAGGGATACTTACATGTATCGACGTATGTGAAGGAGAACCGCCATGATGAACCATGCCACGGCGTGGGGTACTGTCCTTCATGAGCATCCTCAGCTGGACGGCTCATATACAACCTCACACCTCCATCGTTGCCCGTTCTCAAGCGCGCGTTTCATAATAACATTCAGTCAACGGCGAGCACGAAGCCAAGTTATTGTGGAGCTGATGGAGGGACCTCACGACGGATGTTTACATCCGGAGTGAGGTTCGTCCAGAAGCGTAACAATAACTTGGCTTCGTGCGAGCGGTGGTTTGACGCTTACAGCGTCATAAAAGCGGGGTCGACAACTGGGTTAGGGGATTCGGTTTCACCTGTGAATCTTTCGTAGCGTGTACAGAGCGCTTCGTAACTCGAAGGTGGGTACAGCCTGGAACGTGATCAGTACGTCATGGGAACTCCTTACCGCGGAACTGAAGACACTGACAGGCCTCCCTCGGGACTGTCCCCCTTCAGGTACAAGGACGACCTGCACCCTTTGGAGCTCCTTCTGTCCACGCGCGCTTGCCAAAGGAGGGGAATCGTCGGTAAACGATCTCCTTTCTAGGGGTCCCTTTACCCTCTTGTATGAAAGTCCTTTGCTAACCTTCCTTCGTCACGGAGTCCAGTGTCGACCATCCCTTTAAGCAGGCTGTGGTGCGGCTATATAGGAGATTGTTCAGGCGAAAACCGTTCTCTCGAACATGGCCCGGCAGAGTTCACCTATCACATCCTGACATACACACTTTATCACTCGATCACGACTTCAAATCGCGTACATCATGTCCTTTATGTTGAATAATCCAGGTCGATGGATTACAGTCGGCCCGCCTGACGCACCAAAGTTCAACGCGAACAGGACGCACAACCGACCCTGCCTTACGTGGAAGGAAAACACGTACGAGCAGATGAGGCTGGACTGGAACCCCAGCATGCCGTTCGGGTGGTTCCCTCCGGGTTACACATTCGAAAACCTCACCCTTGAGTTGTTCCACTCCGAGCAGGCTCCCTTCAAGTGGCCCTTGGCCCGTGAATGCGATGAACCATTCACGCAACACCGTGTTTACGTAGGTGACCAGTCCGCGAACATGTTACATGATACCGCGAATGCGTATCACCCAGTTTTACGATGCTGATCGTGGTTGTTTCACTCCAGGAAATCGTTTTACTGGCCTTGAGAGACGCCCGGGAGTGGGTCAGGCGAAACCGTCCACAAGAACTCGAGTTTGCTCACCCAGGGAGTGAAAGTCTGCGTGATATCTATTGGTTCGCGGAGGCACTTTGGGCGGCAATGACCGAACTCAAAGTGTGTCGAGAGCACACTCCCCTCGCGTGGCCCATGGTTGTCTCCATGATTTACCGAGAGAAGATCATTCGCGCCAGGGTGGGGCGGTCAGGCTACACCGCTCAGCAGGCCAATGATTTCGTACCCCTGGTCGATCACCCGATCACATGGGACATTTTCACGCGCGAAGCCAACTGGGCGCAAGGGTATTGCCGATGCATCCACAAAGGCATGATGGACGAGGTCAACTGAATGAGGAAGTGCGTCCAGCCAGGTTAACCCCTGGGATAATATTGTCGGACTGACCACAGCTGTGTTATTTCTATTACTCAGGACCGCACGGCATTAGCGAATTATGTACGCGCGGTGACTGTTCGCGGGTAACCGCTATTCATTCGCGGGATCACGCTGGAAGTAGATTTTGGTCGTAGCTAGTCATAAGGTAGACAACACGTGTGTGACAGATTCGATACAATGTCTTGCACTCCTTGCAGCCGCGCTGGCAGCCTAAAACACAGCGTACGATTCCTCGCTCATGCCAGGCATAGTCGCCAATTCAATGGGGTCGACTTCATCCGCTCCTGCCGGTATACTGTCCTCGTCACAGTCGAAATCGGTGTCTATCGTTGACGTTCCAGCATCCTGGGTTGTCCAACGGCACCAAGATAGCCTGAACCTCTCGTGAAGTTGTACAGGGGGAGGTACGTCTTGCAAGGGCACATGACTTTCATCTTCTCTAAAGGGATGGAAGTCACGATTGAGGCCGGCGGCAAGAAGATCGAACGTTTTCAGTCGCTCCATGATGCAGCACACGGCCATAGCGGGCAAAAGTTGCCTCGGTTTTGTATGCGCTACAGGGTGTTTCAAAGAATCCCAGATGGCTGTGGGGGGGATGTTTGATGTGTTTACTATCGTGCACAACAGGTTACGTTGATCCACCAGCCAGTATTGTAAACGTGCCGCCTCCGTCCTCATCCTGGCGAGCTCTTTCATCGCACAGTCGTAATGACGGGTGGCACGCACCCCCTCTCTTATATGTGGTTGAGTCCAGAGTTCCGCTCCAAAGTGCCGTTGGTCTCTAAGGCAGGCAAAAGACTCAGAGACTGCTTCTTGATTCTCCGTCCAACGGCTTTGATCGATAAGGGGCGGTCGCTGTGCGATCGGCAGAGCCAAACGTGCCGTCTGATACTTCTTGAGAGATGTTTCAAGACCAGCGCTTCTGGCATTGAGGCCTGCTTGGATTTTAGCTCGGAGCTTGTACGACGTTCCCGGGCGCGAACAGCGATCTAACTCTTGCATCCGCGACATACAAGCCAGTTCCAGGTGGTCGAGAGCGTCTTCATAAGCCTCCCACACGGCGTTGTCTGCCGCTATCTTGCCCTCCTGACTGTCTAGCCAGATGAAGATGTCTGCGTCCCTCGGATACCGTGACTGTAAGTTGTGTTGGTTCATACAGATCAACAGATCCTTGCGGGCGTTCACCAGAGCATCGTCTGCATTGGCCCGGTGCGCAAGATGCATAAAGTGGATCACAGGATCGGTCGTCGGTTCGTGTTAGGCGTCGAGAAGGCTCCAGGGAAGACCGGCTCGATGTATACCTGCGAGGACATATCCGGGAGTAATGTAGAACGTAGGACTAGGGTATATAGATGTAATAACAGATGAAGGACTATATACTACAATGATGATACAAAGTGATACAATACGATATGCTCCTTGAACAACTCCGCCGGAGTTGGTACGACTCGAGTCCGGCGTACACGCGCGTCGCTATAACAGGATCCCCCCGTTAAGGGCGAACTCCGAACGCCCTAGGCATCGCCGTACTCCTCGAAAGCAGGTTTCGGCTTGTTTGGGTATCGTCGATGATAATCCAGCACCGCTTGGTCGTCATGGTGGAAGTCCTCCGGGTGTACCCACTCGTTATACTCATCCTCGTAACCTTCCCACCGCACCAGATATTGGGTACGCGTCTGACGTCCCCGCTTCCTGCTCCGCGAATCTACGATCTCAGATACTACCCACTGGGTGTCACCGTTATCCACCACCTCTGGAGGAGGAGGCGGGACCTGTTCCCGCGAGGGCAGCTCGTTCCGCTTGTACGGAATCAGCATTGAGACATGGAACACAGGGTGTACTCGCCGCAGTTGCTCGGGAAGCTCCAATCTCCGCGCCATCTTCGCATCTCCCACGACCTCGGTGATCTTGAAAGGTCCGAGGGTCTTGTAGTCCAACTTCTTGTTTGGACGAACCGTCTTGATGTGGTCCGTAGACAACATCACTTGATCTCCGACCTCCATTCCCTCGTCGGGAACGGGTCGCCTCTTTCTGTTGGCGTATTTCGCCATATCCACCCTTGCTTGCTCCAACGCCCGGAGTACCGACTCGTGGATGTTCGAGAGTCGCTCCCTGAACTCATCCGCGCTTTCATTGGGTACTTCGGCCATCCGGATGGTGAACTTGTGGTCAGTCCCCTCGGAGGCCATGAAAGGCGACATCCCTATGGCGGAATGCTTGGAGTTGTTGTAGGCGAACTCCGCCAGAGGCAACAACTCCGCCCAATCATCCTGCTGGAAGTTCACGTAACTCCGCAGGTACTGTTCCAACGTCGAGTTGCTCCTCTCCGTTTGTCCGTCAGTCTCCGGGTGGTATGCCGTCGAGAATCTCCTCTCGACACCCGCAAAAGCACATACATCCCGCCAGAAGCTAGACATGAACAATGTCCCTCTGTCCGAGACGATCTGATCAGGGAACCCGTGCAACTTGACGTAGTGGGAGAAGAATAACTTCGCCAGGTACGAGGCGTTGTTATCCTTTCGACACGGGATGAAGTGTGCCCGCTTACTGAAGCGGTCGACGATTACCAGGATTGCATCCTGGCCCAATGACTCGGGGAGGTCCGTGATGTGGTCCCAAGTGATAGACGACCACGGCTTCCTCGCCGCAGGTAGGGGGGCCAATTCTCCGATTGGCTTTTGTCGGGGACGGCGGTTCTTCTGGCACGTCAAGCACGAGGCCACGTAGTTGCCTACCCAGTCTCTCATTCGGGGCCAATAAAAGTCTCTCGAGAGAAGGTCCTCCGTTTTGTCTCGCCCGTAGTGCCCCGCGAGCTTGCCGTCGTGAACGTACTTCATCAGTCGGACCCTTACCGACTCCACATCGGGGACGTACAGGAGTCCCTTGTAGATTAGGAACCCCTCGCCATCCTTCTTGTAGGGACCCTGCTCGTTGGGCTCCCTCTCCATCTTCTCCAAGATGGCCTTGACTACTTCGTCCGCCTCGTAACCTTGCAACAGGTCTCTCCGGAGGTCCTCGCCGGGAATTGGCAGGGTACCGTCGATCTGTAGATGCGGAGGGATCTCCCGCGCTGTAGCCGAGAGATTCATGGGCCGTAGCATCGTCTCGGTCTGTCTTGGTTCGCTCTCTTCCAGGAGCTCCTCCTTCCGACTCAAGGCGTCGGCCTTACCGTTCATCACCCCCGGCTTGTACTCCAGGGTGTAGCTCAGACTGTTCAACAGCTGAGACCATCTTGCTTGTCGCCTCGACAGTAACTTCTCCGTTCGGAAGTACTCGAGGTTCTTGTGATCGGTAAAGATCCGAATAGGGTGAGGTCCCTCCAGGTAGTGTCGCCATATCTTGCAGGCGTAGACGATGGCCAGCATCTCCCTGTCGTGAACGTCGTAGTTCCGCTCTGCGGGAGTCAACGACTTTGACATGAACGCTACTGGTCGGAGTTTTCCGTCCGAACCTCTCTGCGACATCACTGCTCCAATCGCTCCGGCCGAGGCATCCGTTTCCAACGTTACCTCTGCATCTTCCTGGAAATGCGCCAGTATAGGCGCCTGCGTGAACGCTTTTTTCAGCGTTACGAACGCAGTCTCTGCGGATTCGTTCCATTGAAACCGCACTCCTTTCTTCAGGAGCTTCGTCATCCCCTGTATCTTCTGGGAGTAGTTCGTGATGAACCTCCGATAGTAGTTGGCGAAACCTAGAAACGACTGTAGTCCCTTCAGGTTTCGAGGCGCCGCCCATTGTTCTATGGACGACACCTTGGAGGGGTTCATCTTCACCCCTCCCGGAGACACGTCGTATCCAAGGAACTCCGTGTCTGTTGTGTGGAACTCGCACTTCTCTGCTTTGGCGTACAGCCCATTTTCTTGTAGCCTTCGCAGCACCTCCTTCACGTGTCTCTCGTGCGTAGTCTCGTCGGGAGAGAACACGAGGATGTCGTCCAGGTACACTACGACGGACTCGTCCAGAAGGTCCCTGAACACATGGTTCATCCACCTTTGGAACGTCGCCGGAGCGTTCGTCAACCCGAACGGCATCACCAGACACTCGAACAGTCCGTATCTAGTACGGAAAGCTGTCTTCCATTCGTCCCCTTCCTTTACTCGTAACAAGTTGTACGCTCCTCGGAGGTCCAACTTGGTATAGACCTTTGCTGTCGTTAACTTATCGAGCGTCTCGGAAATCAGTGGTAACGGGGTCCGATCCTTTGTGGTAATGGCGTTCAAACGCCGGTAGTCAATACAGAGCCTGAGCTCTCCTCCCTTCTTCGGGACAAACAATACGGGACTTGCGGCGGGTGACGTCGAAGCCCTAATAAAACCTTTATCAAGGTTCTCCTTGATCCAGCGCTTCAATTCGGCGCTCTCCTTTTCGGAGTGGTTGTAGAGTTTTCCGAAGGGGGGTACTTTCCCTTCCTCTACGTCGATCGAGTGATCGAAGTCTCTGTGTGCCGGCAACTCGTCGGCCTTGGTCTTGGAGAACGCTCCGAGGAAAGCGTGGTACTTCTCCGGTACCACCTTCCGTAACGTCTCCATATACTCGGGAGGGTCCAGGTCTCCCGGGAAACTCTCCGCTGGCTTGTCGTCCCAATCCCATAAGTCGGGACGCCTCACCCTCTCTTCTTCTTCATCATTGGCCTTGAGGTAGGCCACTACTAGTTCTTCGGTGACCCCTCCTTTGATTCGGTCCGTCGAACGTAACTCCTTCTCCTCCGTTTCGTAATCCACGGGGGAGTATACTATTTCTTTTGCTGGTGTACATCCGTTCTGGACGCACTTATCTTCGAACGCTACTGCGCTCATTTCCCAGTCAATTCGGGGGTTGTGCTCCTTCAACCATGGTAGGCCGAGCACCGTTGTGAAAGTTCCGAGGCTACATACGTAGAAGTACGCCGTTTCGGTATGTCTACCGATACGTAGTCTAGCTTGTACCCGGTGTGTAACTGCACCGGAAGAGATCTC